GTGAGGTTGTAGTCAAATTAGATAGTGCTGCGGCAATTTCAAGTCTTGAGGACTCAACGATGCTAACAGATATAAGAGTGTGGAGCAAAAAACAGAATGCTAATTTAGTAGTGAAGATTAAAGATATATATAGGTCAAAGGGTATTGTCCTTTAGTTGGTTAAAGTGAAAACACATAACAAGGTAAAATGGAATGAAAGAGCAGATCAATTGGCTAAAGAAGGCGCCCGCTTAAATCGGTACTCAATATTATCCTTGGAGAAAAATCGTCACAAAAGATTTTTAGTTTATCTCAACGAGACACCAGTGGAAGTTACAACAAGAAAACTGATCAAGACATTGATGAGTTTCAAAACTGGTGCAGAGTGGTGCAATTCAAATGCTATCAGGTCATATGAGTGTGAAGCAGACTCAAATCGTAGCTGGAAGGCTTTATAGCATTAGAATAAAAAAGCAACTGGAATTAGGTGCAAGTCATGCGTAGCTAGCAGAAAGATAGCCTTCCGAATTAAGTGTATCAATAGCAGTTTACTAGTTCTGACGGTACTGAGGAGAAGAAAACCTGAAGTATATGCAGACAATACATTTATAAGTTGCAAGTGTGTAAAAGAAGATTCTGACTATCTAGTAGTGTGTACGGGGTATACCAATTACTAGGATATTGTAGAGAAGGTTGCATGCTTACTCACATGGAAGAAGTTAGACCGTGCACATAAGTGGACAATATCTGTTGAGAGGTTCGGTCTGGTAATTGGTGGTGCTACAACTGAGAAGAGGTTCAAGCGGAGAAGAGACTACATAAGAGGGCTTATACCTGACAATACGGTGGCAGAATTGTTAGGTTTGGAGCTACCTAAAAGGATTGTAAACCGGGCACTTGGTAATTACGCAGCACTTGTAGAAAGTAGTTTTCTCGATAAAATTTGGCAAATCAGATGTAATGCAGTTGCTGAGTGGGAAAAGGAAATTGGTATAGATACAGCGATGAAGAGAAGTAACCTGAAAAGCACTGTCAAAGAGAGTGCTATTACCGATAAAAGTTCAACATCAAGAGTTGGGAAAAACAAGAGTAAAGGTGAGATGAGCGGTGTAGTTGAGTCAACAAGTAAGACGAAGGAAGCAGAAGTTATATAGTTGTTTGAGGAGGGTGTTGCTGAATGGGTTGAGAATGGTTCAACCCCTTTTTGGTTTAGTTCTTGATAGAGCTAACAAGGTCTTCCAACCCACATGTAGGTTGGTGCGACAAGTCGCATTTGGGTGCATGTGATGTAGCCGGGTGATGCCGGGCTTGCATTTTCTTGTTCTATTGTTTGAACTACTAGATACTTTCTTCTTCGGAATATTTTTATCTGCTGCTCTCCG